CCCTCCGAACACGTCCTTCCTGAGCACGTCCAGGCCAAGCACGTCTGCCTTGAGAGCATCCATGCCAATCCCACCACAAATACGCCCATCCCAATCATGTGTTGGCCTCGAACATGTCCATCCCAAGCGCTTCCAGCTCAAATGTGCCCATCTGGAGCATGTCCTTGCTGAGTTTATCCACTCCAAGCACGTTCACTCCAAGAGCACCAAACCCAACCCAACCCACCCCAACTTCATTGGCCCTGGGGCTAGGATGTGCTGGCAGGGGATCACTGGAGCAATCAGAGCAGAGCTAATCAAGGTCACCAGCTTGGCAGCCTGGAGGGATATCAGCCAGGAGAGGGGTGCGTAGGGGGACAGGCGCGTGCGGGCGCCGGCCTCCTCTCACCTGATGACGATACACTGGTTGTGTTTGGCATCCATCATTTTACTGTAGGCAACGTTTGCAATCGCAAAGAGGTGCCTGCGGGCCAAAAAAAATGTATGTGGGGAGCAAGATGTGTCGTGGTGGCAACGCCAGCGCCAAGCGGCACCCAAGCGGGGAGACAACCGAGAGGGATCAAGGGGGAATCAGATCCTGCGAGGACCTGGGAAGACGGGACAAGGGTGGCAGCTGGGGCCATGGTGGGACCCCCTCTCCCCGTGGGGCGTTTTGGGGGTGCCCTGGTACTCACGGCGGGTTCTCGCCCAGCGCCCTGCCCTCGTACTGCAGCACCTGCTCCGTCCCGTAGATGTTGCACAGCCGGTAGGGATTGACCGACACCAGGATGCTGCCGATGTAGGTCTGCAGAGGTAGAGAAGAGGGGCAGGTTGGGGGCAGCAGGAGCCTGGGGAGCAACTGTCCCAGACAAGGATGAGGACCCAAGTGTCCTGAGCCTCCCCAGGACACTGGGCACACCAGCAATGGCGCAGTGACCCCAGTGCCCTCACAGCCCCGCGCGCGGGCACTTACATAGATGAGCTGGCGCTCAAAGCGCGTGCGGATGTTGCTCAGCACAGCAGCTTCCTGCAGGTCCCTGGCACGGAGCAGAGGGGCGACGTTACAGGGCCATGGAGGACAAGCGGCGTCTGCTGTCCCCGAGCCGGTTCCCACCAGTCCCTAGTCCCCCGGTGGGAAGCCAGGGCTGCCACCGGCTGAGGAGCCCATGTTTTTTGTCCCAACACCCATTTTTTTCCCATCTTGTGGACACAAGGTGTTTCCATCCCCTTCCCGCCATCCTGCCAGCAGCCCCCACGGCTGAGCCGGGTCACGGCTGGGAGCCGAGAGGGACACAGGGACTCACTCCAGCTGGGTCATGTCCTCCAGGCCGTCCTCCTCCTGCTGCTCCTGGTAGCGCACGATGGGCAGGCTGCAGAGGGTCTGCATCTGCGCGAGGGAAGCCCGGCGCGGGCACCGTCAGGGCATGGCCGGGCACTCGCGGGGGCACCGAGCAGCCCCCGCCGCGGCCTCCTGCCCATTTCACCGCAACGACCTCAAAACCAGCCAGTCTGAGCCCAAACTGGGAACCCCATAACCACTGACCGCAGCACAGCCCATGGGCAAGGATCCCACCACCTCAGAGTGGGTCACCAGCCCAGCAAGAACGTCACCGGGAGGAAAGCGCTAGAAATTGGTGTAAAAACCCAGCAAGACGTGGTCTGTGCTTACGCCAGGCACGAGAGTCCCAGAAAATGCCATTCCCATAGAGTTCTGTCCCATTTGGACAGCGGTGGGGCCGCTTTTGCTGCAATACCCACACGTTTTATCCCAAAACACCTTTTGGGGCTGCAAAGGGGGCATTTGCCCGGGGAGGTGAATAGCCAA